CGGGGTAACCACATAGCTCGACCCCACAACGATCCAATGGTCGATGAGGTAAATCGGGGTGAAAGTCGAAAGATTCCATGATCATTTCGTGGATTTAAAGACCATTTCTCGCAAAACCAAGGATATATTCGACCTCCCGGCGTCGATGCGAAGCTTCCCTTGAAGTTCGGCATCAAACAGTCACCCGAGCGCGGCGGTGGACGGTATCCTTCCTTCCTGGCGAGAAGGTGACAGACCGCACCCTTAATCTATCGATTAGTCTGGAGATATTTTGTGTTTTGAAAGTTTTGAAATTATGTGTTGCACATGCGTTTTTAATGTGTTGGTTATATTGTGCCTATAGTCATCATAATTTTGAATGAAACTTTCTTTGTCTCCTTATTTTGAATAATTTCATTTCTGTCCTTACTGAATGCTTTTGTAAAAAATAGATGTTTATGCTTGGGGTCTTAATTTTTTATTTTCCTTATTTTGGTCATTAATTTATAGTTTTTCTATTTAGGTCACTGTTATAATTTCGATCGCTTAATTTCCTTTCATTTTTAATATAGTCACTATGCTAGAATTAGCTGAGTTGTTTCATTGTGTTAAAATTTTGTCCTAGAATTTTAAATTTAAATTGAATCCTTAGATTTAGATTTAAATTATTTTAGTACTTTAAATGTTTATTAATATCATTTTAGTCCTTTGAGTTTTTTTAAATTATTGTTTTAAAACTTAAAAGTTTATAAATCTAAGTACATATTTTCACTATTTGTATTAAGGTTTGTAATATTTATTTGTTCTTATTTCAATCCTTTGAATTTCATCTTTTAAGTTATTAATTTGAAGAAAATTAATTAATAGTCAATAAATGGATCATATTTTAACTTGATACTTGACTCAGAATTTCCACCATTTACGACAACGTGTAAGCGACACAGTACCAATTTTGGGCGCTGTGGGGGTGCTAATTCTTCCCCACGCGTAATCGACTCTCGAACTCGTTTTAATCGAATATTTGGTAAACGCAGACCAGCTTTTGTCTTAAAAAATGATTTTCTTAAAATTGTTTTTGAAAGACATTTTTAGGTATTCGACCTACCTAGTCCAAAGGTTGATGGCGACTCTATCCAAATTATTCCAAATCAATTCAAATCACTTCATTTTCCAAAATTAAAAGTCGTAACTATTTTTAAAACAATAAACGATTGTTCCGCCGAAAAACGGTTACGACAAAGTGCTCTGGCAGAATCATAAGGTAGAAGAAGCTACTTGGGAAAGAGATGAGGACATGAGGAAGCAGTTTCCACACCTCTTCGTTTTAGATACTTTTTTAAATTTGGGGATGAATTTTCTTAAGGGGGAGAATTGTAATACCCCAAATATCAGGTCAAACACTTTATTGAAAAGATTTAAGAATTTGAGGATTTATTTGAAATATGACAAAAGAATGAGAAAATAATTTATAATAGTGTTTTAGACTAAATTGTAACAATATATGAATAAAGAGGGCATTTTGGTCCTTTAAAGGGGAAATAAATTTAAAATTCAATTTTAATAAGGTATTAAAGTAAAGGAAAAAGAGTAAAGAAGTCAACCAAAAGCCATCTCTTTTCTTCTTCTTTCCCGTGGAAGAGCTCTTCTCCATAGCCAAAGGTAATGTTTCATTTGGCTAGCTTTTCCTTTCGTTTTTGGATGGTTTTTGAATCATTGAGTATTATAGAGGCTCAAAGAAGGGTTAAATAGGATTAAAAATAAGAGATGGATGAAATATTTGAGATTTAAGAAAATGGTTTTTTGAATGATATGCAAATATATGGGTTTTTATTGATGTTTATTAGTATTTTTTACTTGTCAAAGAAGTAAATAAGAGATTAGAAGCATTGGATGGGTGTAAAAACATGTTAGAAGAAGTGGTATGATTCTTGGATTGAAATGTTATTTGGAGATTGTAGATATTATAAGTAGCTAAATGAAGGAAAGTTAGTTGGGATAACTAAAGAAGAGTTTGATAGTATTGTTGGAGGTAAAAATAAGGGAAATTGGACTAAATATGGGTAATTATCGGGCTGAAAATGGAAAAATATGGGTAAGGGTATCAGTACTGGAAGAACATTATCGATATTATAGGCTTAAATTGGAAGAAATTAGCTGAACAATATTGATACTGATGCAATGAGTATCGATACTGAGGTGGGTATCGATATTATGGGGAAGGTATTGATACCATTGATTACAGAATGCAGAAATGGAATCGATACCGTTTTAGAGTATCAGTACCATAGTATAGAAGTATTGGTACTTAGAGACAGATACCGATACATTGGATTCATAATATAGAAATGGTATCGATACTGAAAGGGAGTATTTGTACCACATTATAGCAGTATTGATACCATGGTAAGGGTATCGATACTCTTGAGCCAGAAATTTTAAGATAGGCTGAGATTATTATAGAAAATTAAATAATAGTATTTTGATTATTGTTTAAGAATAAATGTTAGGGAATATACTAATATTTGATATTGTATGTGTCTTTGATGTATGCTTGAGTAGATCGAAATCAAGCTCCCGAGTCAAGCAAAACGAAAGGCAAAGGCAAAGTAACTGAGTAATCAGATTTACATTTTGGATATAATAGCGAGGTAAGCCAGGTGAGTGAATTTATTATGTACTTATATATTATGGTAGTCATAGATGCATGATGCTTAATATATGTATGGTGATTACCAAATGACACTATACGTGCAAACTAATAAATTCATAATAAGTTTATGAATTTCCATATGGGCACTGTGTGTACAAAACTAAGAAATTCATAATAAGTTTATGAATTTTTGTATGGGCACTGTGTATGCAAAACTAAGAAATTCATAATAAGTTTATGAATTTCCGTATAGGCACTGTGTGTACAAAACTAAGAAATTCATAATAAGTTTATGAATTTCCGTATTGGTAGTAGGTGTGCAACCCACGTAAATTATAGTAAGTTTGGGGAATTATTGTATTGGCACTACAGGTGTAAACTATATAGTGTATGATGAATTGAAAGAGTTAATGGATATTAGAATTATCATGATATACTTGTGTTTAGAATTTTGCTTATGATTATTTATGTCTCACTAAGAAAATTCTTAGCATGTGTTAATTTCACGTATAGGTTTTAATACAAGCGAAGTAAGGAGATCATCTAACATCACAAAGCAAGGGTCGCCTTATCAGTAACTGTACGACATCCATGTCTATTTTTGATGTATTTAGTTAGCATGAAATAGACTTAGTAAAAACGCTCTGAAAAGTATTTGATTACCATGATGTAAAAAGATGAAATGTTTGAATATTACTTTTTATTTTACCTACGTAAGTTTAATGAATGTTTTATTTTCACTAAATTAAAATGTTTTATAAAAAGAAACGAAATTTTACAGATATTCAAATAAGGAAACATTTTTAAAATGATGTGACATATGTATCTCATGTACGAAAAGGTATATGGGAGATGGGTGTTATTATCGTGATCATTAGCTTGTTTGGTTTTCCTTGGTACATTGTGAGATAAATGATTAAAGATTTTAGATTTTTACAATTAATTAAGGCATGCTTAAAGACAAGCATTGAATAAGTGAGGGGGAATTTGATGAGTGTTTTATTTGGTTAATATTTTGTTTTTAATTAAACCATGTTATCTCCTTTTATGGTGCCAATTTAGGTTGTTTTGATTTGAATTTGTACAGGACTTTATTTTTCAAGAAAAACAATGAAAAGGAAAATTAAATAGATTTTTCTACTTATTTGGGAAAAGTCGGCGCCAACTTAGATTCAATGGTCGATCCAAGCACAAACTCTAATTAAATATTCCAAGTAGCAAGATAAAAGGATAAGCGAACCATAATTCTTTAGGAATTTAAAAGTTGTGATTGAATTCAAACATTTAGATTTTATTATTTTATTAGGAATTTAGTTTGCATAGAATTTTTATTTATGATTTTTAATATTTATTAATTAGGATTTTTAGTTTGTTAGAATTAATAGTTTGAATATTTTAAGATTTAATATTTTATTTTCATTAGGCTAACTCAAGACTATAAATACCCCCTAGGGGTGAAGCTTGAGGGTGATACAAGTTTAGAATTCAATATAGAATTGGTTATGGCTTTTTCTTTGTTTCAGTTTATTTCAATAAAATTATTTTTCTTCTTCATCTACTCTCTTTCTACACGCCAAACATGATTTCTATCTTGCTTGGCTAAACTTTTTGTTAGCTGATAGCTGAGCGACAACTCAATCCAATCTCGTGAGAATCGAAAAGGCATGCAACATCTTCATATTTCTTTCTTGATTTTTTTGCAAACAAAGAAAGACAATATGCCTTTCTTCAACATCTCAATATCTTCAATCCAAGGAGTGTATAGAGCACATTGGTTTATTCGACATTGTGATCTACAGTTGGGGAGGAGAATCGGCTTGTAGCAAATTCAATTCTCTAAGAACAATCTTAGAGGCGGTCCGCTAAGGAAAATAAAGATCGGGTTCGATTCTTATCGAGACACTATAATCCGAGCATGGGCTTTTCCTGTTCAAAACCAACATCGGCATTAACATCGATAGTCGATATTAATCCAAACAATAACTAATTTTCCAGGATTGACTTTAGAAATCAGTTCACAAGAGAGAAGAGCAAGTTACAAGGGTTGGACTTTGTAAACTGTAACTGGTAAGTATCTGAAGTAAAATATATTTCAGTGATCGAGATAGATTGGGGCGAAGCGAAGCTGGAGGCTATTTCTCATATTTATTATTCCTTTATAATTTACTTTTCTTAATTTTCCTTATTGCTTGAATTTTAGTTTTACTTTAATTTTATTTTACTAGTTTACTTTAAAATCTCTTTCTTTTTAATTTACTTGTTTTACAAGTTTCTTAGTTCAAGATCAAATCGAAATAGAATTAGAAATTTCTGAATCCCTGTAGACCGACACCCTTCTTCTCTATATTACCATAATTATCCGAGAAAAAAAATTATTTATTTGACAATTATGATACTTGTCATACATATAGCAGTGAAACTCAAAACTTGCACAGGTAAAAGAACGATAGATTATATTAATCCAACATGTGCTATTAGTTGAACTTCAAGTATGTCAATGTCACGATCGGAGAAGAGGAAGAACGTATTGAGGAAAGGCAATTGAGACAATTTGAAATTGAACCAAAAAGGTTAGGAATTGAGAATATCGAATTGGGGCATTTGAAGCTGTAAACACGTGAGGATATTCTCATAGTAACAGAACAAGCCCGATCAAAAGAAGCCCAAATAGCTGCAAAGAATGAACATTAGAATCAATTATCATAGTACAACAACCGGAGAATTTGTTAGATATTCTCGTACAGTGTAAACAAATAAAACTTGTAATTGGGATGAGCTCTTTATGCATATTTTGAATGAAGATTTCCTTCTCTTGAGTCTCTCATTCTTCTCTCATCTTTTATCTAAATCTTTTTCTTTCTTTCTACAGACATAGCAAATTGGTATCGAGAGCCCACAATCCTTGCACGATAACTCTGGGTATGCCAAAGACGAATAAAACAATGGCAGAATCTACTAACTTATATGCTATTTAAAAGTAGATTGAAGATTTGACTATATTGATGAAGTATGCGACAAATGATTCAAATCCTCCACGATGGTGGGATACACAAAATGAAGGTGTAACCCAACTGGAGACACGGATGAATACAAACTAAGCATATATGGAAAAGATGCTGAAAATTTTGATAGGCCGTGATGATGACCCTAACGCTACAAACTCTAAGAATGATCAGATACACACATCTACGATTACTAAGATCGTAGGAAAAAAACCCATGACTGTCACCATAGTGAATGAAAAGAATAGGTTTTCTTACAAACCTACTAAACCGGGAATCCTCAAGTCTAAACCGGATGAAACTCACTCTAATCAACCAACTGTGGGAACTGACACTCAAAAAGGTGAAAATAGTAATCTGCGACTTAATCTGGACAGTTATGAGGACGAAAAAGGAATTTTGGGTTGCACTCGAATTCAATATTTCTTTGGATAAAATTTGAGTTACCTTCTTTTGATGGAAATAATCCTAGAGCTTGGCTACAAAAATGTAGTTTTTTTACTTGTATGTCGTACCTGGAGAACAAAAAGTGGAAGTTGTTGTGATGCACCTCGTAGGTTGTGCCAAGTCTTGGTTTGATGCCTACATCATGCAGAAACACAGGGTGCATTGTCATGAGTTTGAGGCAAATTTGTGCCACCGTTTTAGTGACATATCATTTTCTGATGTAGTGAAAGAATTCACTAAGTTAATTCATAAGGGGACAATGGATGATTATAATGACTGTTTTGAGAAGCTACAACCATACATGATCTTTCAAAATCCTACATTAAGTGAGGAATTTTTTTCCGCTATTTGTTAGTGGACTAAGGAATGATTTGAAGCATAGAGTAAAGGCATTAAATCCTAAAACCTTTCATAAGGCCAACATACGGGCCAAGCTATATGAGCCTTCAGTTGAATATGAGAATATGAAGCCAAAACCATTTTCAAAGTATTTATCCTACTCAAGTCAGCAACAGTCATGAAACCATAACCTACTCCTACACAACAACCAAAACCTACAGTTCATCAACCTAAATCTACACTTATGAAGTATAGAAGACAGAGTAACCTCTGTTATAAGTGTGGTGATAAATTTGTACTTGGCCATCAATGTAAGCAAAGGTAGTTGAACTTATGGGAGAAGCTAATATCGAAGAACAACTTGATCAACTTGAAGAAGAAACATAACAATAACAAAGTCAAGAGGAAGAAAACTTAGAAATTTCAATCAATGCTATTACCGGTTGCACTAGCCATAATGCATTGAGAATTCAAGGCATCAAACAAGGAAGGCCACTGCACATTATGATTGATAGCGGTAGCACTCATAGCTTTTTAACTCCTAAATGGATTGAAGGAGAAGACCATTTAATTGCTACCTATCACTTCGTTATAACAGTAGCTAATGGTGAGGAACTATATAGTTCAACAAGATGCAACAATTTCACTTGGCAGATGCAAGGGTACTTCTTTAATCATGATTTTTGAATTCTACAACTGGGGGGTAATGATATGGTCTTAGGGGTGGATTGGTTGAAATTATACAGTCCAATGTTGATGGACTTCGGTCATATGACTATAACTTTAACAAATGAGGGGGAACATGTGTTCATTCAAGGCCAATAGACCTCTGGTATATTACAACAAATTTCTGATGCTACTTTTATGAAAATGAGTGCTATGGACTCTGACTTACTTGATTGAGGCATATTTTTGCTTTAAGTTTCGAAGTACCCCACACATTAATACCTTTTGAGTTACCACTATTACAACAATACAAGGAAATATTTGAGGAACCATTGGGGTTGCCTCATGCTAGAAGTCATGATCATGCCATATTATTAAAACCAGATGTTGTTCTAAGACCCTACAAATTTGCACATCATAAAAAAATCTAAAGCGAAAAAGCAGATTGATGCTATGCTTTCTTCTTCTATCATCCAACCTAGCAAAAACCCTTTTTCTTCCCCTTGTTTACTTATAAAAAAGAAACATGGGACTTGGATATTTTGTGTGGACTACAGACAACTCAATGACATGACCATTAAAAACAAGTTCTCTATTCCAGTTGTGCAAGATCTACTAGATGAATTACAAGGGGTTGTCTACTTCTCCAAGATTGACCTAAGGTCAGGATATTGGCATATTAGAATCAAGTAAGAAAAATCTATAAAATTGCTTTTAGAACACATCAGAGACACTTTGAATTTAAGGTAATACCCTTATGACTAACTATTCCATATTTCAGTCTCTTATGAATAACTTGTTTAACAAGTATCTAAGGAAATTTGTATTAGTTTTCTTTGATGATATTCTGGTTTATAGTCAATCTATGGTAGAGCATAGGGAACACTTGCAGATTGTTTTGAAAGTCCTGAAAACTAATCAATTGTTTGCCAAGTTGTCCAAATGTTTTTTTGGACAAGAGAAGATAGAATATTTGGGCTATGTTATATCAGGTGCTGGTGTGGCTACTAACCCAACTAAGGTGCAACCAATGTGGTAGCTGATGCACTTTCTAGACAGTGGGAAGATGAAGGATAGTTGCAAGCTATGGGGGTTACTATAATAATTCCTAGTCGGGTGCAAGAGGTTGAAGACAATTTTATAGGAGATGAATTGACTGCTGATTGGATTTCAGTATTATATGTTAATCCTAATGCTGATAACAAATGGAAATTCATTAAGGGAATCCTTAGATTTAACAACAAAGTATATATTGGAGTTATAGAAAGCTTAAAATTGTGGACAATCAGGGATTCAAGCCACATACAATAGGATTAAAGTCTATTTTTATTGGCCTAATCTTAAGGCTATGGCGACTACTTATGTTAAACATTGTGATGCATGTCAACAGACCAAGGCTGAACATGTGGCTCAACCTAGGTTATTACAACCTCTTCCAATTCCTACTCAAGCTTGGGAAGTCATTATTATGGACTTCATTGAAGGCCTGCCTATATCTTTCAAGAAGAATTGCATTATGGTAGTGGACAAATTTTCTAAGTACAGTCACTTTTTAGCATTATCACATCCTTATTCAGCAGCAAAGATAGATAAACTATACTTAGACACTGTTTACAAATTGCATGTCCGCCTAAAGTGGCCATTTCAGACGGAGACAAAACATTCACTAGCACCTTTTGGAAGGAACTGATGAAGCATCTTGGCAATAAAACACTATTCAATACAACATATCACCCTCAAACATATGGGTAGACAGAGGGCAAACTAGTGCTTAGAGCAATATCTAAGGGGGATTTGTTTCCTACGTCCTAAATAGTGGGCCAGGTGGTTAACTCATATTTAATGGTGGTAAAATACAACATACCACATAGCATTGAAATTAACCCCTTTTGAGGCATTGTATGGATATAAGCCCCTAACTAGGGTTTGGCAAACAGAGTAACAAGTTCAAAGTGAGCAAGAATTACTTGACAGTTAGGAGGAAATAAAGAGGATCATGAAGGAACAATTAGAACATGCTCAGAATATAATGAAACAACAAACAGATAAGAAGAGATTAGAAAGGCAGTTTCTAGTAGGTGACGAGGTTTACCTTAAACTCTAGCCTTACAAACAAAGCTCTCTTGCCCTGCGAAAGAACTTTAAGTTAGCAGCCAAGTTTTACGGCCCATATAGAGTCTTAAAGAAGATCGAAGAAGTGGCTTATCGCCTGCAATTACCAGATGAATCGTGATTGTACCATGTCTTTCACGTGAGTCTTTTGAAGAAACGATTGGGTTTTCCAATGTAGCCTCGACGAACCCTCCTACAACAGATGAAGAAGGTCAGTTCAAAATTGCTCCACCGAAAATTTTGGGCAGAAGAATCGTCAACAGAGACAACAAACGGATTACTCAACTTCTAGTTCGATGGGTGAACCACGACGTGGATCAAGACACCTGGGAGGATTTCACAGTCCTCAAAGCGCAATTTCCATGGTTTGATCCTTGGGGACAAGGATCGCCTAAGGGGTAAGTATTGTCACGATCGGAGAAGAGGAAGAACGTATTGGATAATTGGAAATTGAACCACAAGGGTTAGGGATTGAGAATATCGAATTAGGGGTTTGATGTTGCAAACACGTGAGGAGCACGAGCTGTTTAATTAGGATGACCCAACAGTATCGGTGGAAAACAGAGCAAGCCCAATCTGAAGAAGCCCAAATAGCTGCAAATAAGGAGCATTAGAATAAGTTAGCACAGTACAACAGTTGGATAATTTTTTAGATATTCAAATAAAACTTGTAATTGGGATGAGCTCCTTATGCATATTTTGAATGAAGATTTCATTCTCTTGAGTCTCTCCCTCGTCTCTCTTCTTTTACCTAAATCTCTTCCTTTCTCTCTACGGACATAACAATCAATTAGCTAATTAACCACCATCTATGTTTTCTACCAATTTATTAATTCACACAAGCAAAATGATGAACCAAAGCCACATAGAATCCAACAAAAGCAATATTCATCCTAGTTAAAGATCATCGGGCATTAGTTCTTGTCAAAATTACTGAGCTAGTCCATTTAGCTAATTTATTGTAGACAGATATGAAGATTCTCAAGCATTCCACTCCACTCTTAAAGTCAAGCTTTGTCTTAAAAAAAATTGAAAGGGAAACTTTAATCCCATGTCATCTAATTCCAAAATCTTTGAATAAATTCTATAACAAAAAACCGGAGGAAATAAAAAAAAATCTCCATTAAATTTCTCACCAGAGAGAAAATGCCTTATGTCTTTCTCCCGAGACGCTTCCTCAGCTTTTTGTATTTGTGTTTATCTTCTTCTCCCTCTTTTTCTTCTCGTTATCTGCCCAAACCGTTCAATCGTTATCATGCTCCGTCTCTGCTGCCATCCCCTCGATTTCCATGATAGCAAATGGATTAAACCCAATTGAGCTAATGGGATTCAATAAATACCCAAATGGGCAACTTGGGTACAACTTCTAAGTTTCGAGAGTCGATGTGGTTGATTTTGTGGGGGCTTTGGGAGATAAGATTAATCTTTGAGTTGCTTTGTTCTTGTGGATGAGAATCGCCATTTTTTGCATAGAAGAAAGGTGAAAGAAGTGAGTTTGAAACTCAAAAATAATTGCAGAAAGTTGGGATTTTGGATCTATTTTTTAGCTTCGATTCGAACAACCCCTGAAAGTTCTAACGATGACGAATTTCTGATGATTATAAAAAAAGGAGCTTCAAATTTCGAAATTGAAACAAATTGCCCCCACGCAGGATCGAACTACGGACCTTCAGTTTACAAGACTGACGCTCTACCACTGAGCTATAGAAGGCTTAATTACAAGGCATCCCCTTTAAAATCTTATAACAATTATATAACGTAGACAAATCGACGGCTTCAAGTGGGGGCGGTAAAGTTGAATAGTGGAAGCTAATAACTTGCGCCATGGACGACAAGGAAGCTCCCTTCTTTTAATCCTTTTGGGTTCGTACAATGAAATTTAATCTTTTATTAATAAATTTTAAACTACTCTTACTCTACTTGATTGCAGCTAATACAAATCCTTTAAAGCTGAGTTGTGAACTTCTTAAAATATCGGCTCATATCACAGCTGATTATGGCTAATGGTTTCGATAAGAAACATACGGCCTTCTTGCATGTTTTTTCTGTTGCCTTTTGCTTTCCCAATTGACTATGTGTCTGCAAAATCGGTATCTGAAAATGACACAGAATTTTATACGTTTCTCATTCATCCAGCATGTTTGTATTTACCCTTTGGCTAATTGAGATCCATAACGTGAAATTGAATCTTAAATATTGCCTGATAGTTGACATTTTCTTCCATCACCTTTCCATGTTCCCTTGATTGTTTAATGGATCGAAAATAAAGCACAGAGCTGGAGTTATTTGATTGTCGGTTCAACTTCTTTCGTGTCTTAACATTTTGACCAACAAAATTTCTAATTTGGATAAGCAATCCAAAACCCAGATTATGTTTCTTACAAGCATTACAATTATGTTGCACATTAAGATCATGTGCAGTAAAAAAAAACATTAAACATTAACTGTTGACAGCCTTATTCTTCTTGCCTGACATTATCATTGACTTGCTGAGCCTGGCTGTCGATTTGAGACAACATGCATCTGACATCCTTACTGTTTGGTCTCTCCTTGGGATCATCCAAAGTGCAAAAGTAAGCAATTCTGAGGACCAAAATCATTTGTTCATCGTACCCTTTTCCCAGGAGTATAGGATCGATGGCTTGGCTGGGATTTCCCGAAACCAGTTTGTTTCTCATCCATTTCACCAGGCTCACTTCGTCAGTTTGTTGAAAGAAATCATCGGATGGAAGCTTTCCTATCACCAGAACACCGAGTATAACACCGAAGCTATAAATATCGCACTTATCGGTGAACTTGAGAGTTTGGTGATACTCCGGGGCTATATATCCGACGGTTCCGGCCAAGTTCGCGGTGGTTACATGTGTGTTGGCATCGGGCATTGCTTTTGCGAGCCCGAAATCTGCTATTCTACCTTCCATATCGTCGTCGAGAAGGATGTTTGCCGGTTTCAAATCTCGGTGAATAATCCGGGGTCTTTGGTTCATGTGAAGATACTCGACTCCTGCTGCAACTCCTAATGCGATATTTTGCCGAGCAGGCCAATCGAGCTCCCTTGTACCTTGGGAAACTTGATGCAAAACATCTTGTAAACTTCCGTTCTTCAAGAACTCGTAAATTAGTAAATGACAGTCCGGTCGAATAACATGAGCTAATAAAGAAACGAGATTCCGATGTCGAATTCGACCGACAGTGGTGATCTCCGATCGGATTTGACGCATTTTCTTGTTCAGAACGTTGCTATCTTGTGCTGTCAGTTCAGCTGCATCTTTTGGAGGCTGAATGATCTTCTTAATAGCAATCATTTTTCCATTACTTCCTGGCAATTCGGCTTTGTAAACTTCCCCACATCCTCCTCTGCCTATGACCTGCAATGAATCCAAGCCATCGTCTTTCTCCAGAAATGCTAAATCTTCAGCTTTCTTTATCAATGAACTGAATATCGATGTACCCGAATCTTTGCCTCCCCCTCTAACAGCTTCAATGAACAGCTTCAACATCACCGAGAAGACAAACCCGGATAAAATCCCGACTGGCCCTCCGGCGAGGATCCCGAAAGCCCATCTCCTTAGTTTCCGATGACCTTTGTGTTTGTGATGATTTGATGTTGATGGACCGAGAGCGGGAGCTTCAGCAGCTGCAGATTTACCTCCATGAGGTGATGGAACTGAAGCTGAACTTCCATTATTGTTTTTCTCAGCAAACATGTATCGTTTGGGATATCTTGAAACTGCTGGTTCATCAGCTTTGCTCGTCATTGGAGCAGAACCTTCAAGGAAACTGTTTCCCGAGAAGTCGAAGAATAGAAGGTTCCGAAATGAACATATCGATGGTGGGATTTTCCCGGAAAACTGATTGTTTGCGAGGGAAAGACTTTCCAGGTCGGGAAATTGCTTCAAAAAACTCAAGTCGCCTGTAAACTTATTGAACGACAGATCGAGAACTCGAAGACGGATCAAAGAAGACAAATTCGAAGGAATTTCACCATTCAACATATTGTTCTTGAGATCAAGAACTTCGAGTTTTTTACAATCAACGAATTGGGTCGGGATTTGGCCAACAACATTGTTGTCAGAAACAGTCAGCTCTTTGAGCTCAGTAAGCTTCCCGATTTCAGGCGACAAGAATCCGTCGAGCCCTTTGAACATGAACACAAGTCTGGTGACTTTGAGAACGTAAGTGTCGTTGTCAGCGATCCTCCGCTCACAGAAAACGCCGGCTGCAGTACAAGGATTAGTGGAAATGTAGCGTTGATCATTGATGCCAAGGTCTTTAACAATGGCGGAAAAAGCTTTTGAGTCTGAATGGTCGAGAGCTAGCTTTGCATCTGATATGAAGAAGAGAGATAAGAAAGTGAAGAAGAAGAGGGTTTTCCTGTGGCATTGGCGGTGGTGGTGGCGTTTGGAAGGAGAAAAAGCCATTTCCGTGGCGGAGGGAACGGGATGGTGTTGAAGAAACTTGGATTGTGATTAATTCATAACTGTCTTGAACTGTGTTTAGGTATAATTTGGATTGAATATCCTTGTTTTATAAGCATGGAAATCATGGTTTTAGTGGACCCCATCTAAATTTAAATATATTTTTCTTAGGTTAATTGACTTTTTTTTTTGTATAATTATTATCAAGAAAGAATGATAAAAAATGGTTGTCCGTTGTTCCCATATTAATAAGGTAAGGAGGAAGTAAGATAGTAGGATACCTCCAACACTAGATTGAGAGCAGCTTCCGTAGGAGACCTCCAAATTATAAAATGCCCTCCATGAGACTCGATCCCACAATCTCAAGATTTAGAATCTTATGCTCTACCAACTGAGCTGGATGATCATTTCGAAAGAATGATAAAACATTTTATAAAATTTAGATGATTGGTTCCAGTATCGTATTTTTTAATTTTATAATACTTTTAATAAATAATAATTATTAATTTTTCTGGATTTTAAACTCATAGAATGATTCTAATAATAATAAAAATATTATTTAAAATATTAAATTCAAACTATTGTTTCTTAAGGAGGTATATATTATAAATTAGTTAAAAAATTAAATAAATAATATTTTATAATCACTTCAAACCATTAAAAAAATTAAATTTTAAGGTCATATACAGTAGTATCCAAAAATATATTTTAAAGTAGACATATATGAATTAATAACAAAAAAAAATTATATGATAAAACACAAAATTTCACGATAAACACCTTACGTAAATTGAAGAACTAACATAAAAAAAATTCAAACTTTAAGGTAAACATGTGTCAAATAAATAATTATAAACCCAAACATAATATATGAATATATAAATAAAACATAGACACAACTATTTTTAAGGATAAGTTAAACAGATATTTTTACAATTTTAGGATGACTCGAGTTGCTGCTACATTACTCGGTTAATAAATGTCTTTATATATTAAAAATATTTGTTAAGTAAATAGTTAATTTTATTTAATGAAATAATATTTTTGAATAAAAAAAAGTAAATTCACCATATGATATTTTCTCTAGGATAACTAAAGTGTACAATTTAGTCATTTAAAAATTAAAAAAATAAACATAGACTAAACGTTGTCAATGATTAAGAGATTTATTATTATATCTTGAGGTCTTAGATTCGAGCATTGTATATGACTTCAATGGTAAAGAAAATATTGGTTTTCCTAGAGTTCGAGCAACAGCGTGTGTAGGGTGTGTGAGTATTGTCAATAGATTAAGAAAATTTTGAACAAATATAATTTTGTAATCACCCTAAACTATTCAAAAATAATAATAATAAATCATCAGAACTCATGGATTTAAACAATTGTACATGCAGGGTATGAAAAATATCAATTAATTAAACAAATTCAAAAACATATATTACGTAATAAAAACAATAAAGAAATTAACTAAATTTTCTATTTTCCCTTTTTAATGTATATTAAAAGTAATTAAAATTAAATGATTTATATAACTTTTTTTTGGAGTGATCAACCAACGTTAGAGAGAGTACATTTAAATATATATTTAAATTTGTAATCTTTAATAGAATAATATCATTTATGTATATTTGAGAATATTTTTGAATAATTTAAGATGATTGTTAGGTAATAGTTATTTAAAATATTTTTTAATTATTTACAATGTACATATATTTTATAAATATAAATTACAATTTTTCAAATTTAAGACTTTAAGAAAAATAACATCTTTTATTAATTGAGACCATTTAATAAGTTATATATGTGGGAATTTTGAAAGTAATAAAGCTAAGATTGTGCGCATTTCATGTTGCCATTAATGATGATATTATAAAGATAAGGATTACTTATATGTTCTCAAACTATAATTTTTATTTTAAACTAGTCCTTAATATTTTAATTTTATCCTCAAACTATGACTCTCATTTTAAATTAATCCTTAAACTTTTAAACATTCTAATTTCATCCCTGAACTATGACCCTCTTTCTAAATTGGTTCCAAAACTTTTAAATCTTCCAATTTCATCCCCAAATTCATCCAAATATATAATTAATTTCAACCATAGTTTAACCTAGATTTTGTTTTTTTCAAACAGATAATAATATAACTTGGCATCTCGATTTTATTAACAATGAATGTGATTAGTATATATGTATAGTTTGGGATAAAATTGGAATGTTCAAAAAGTTTAGGGACCAATTTAGAATGAAAGTCATAGTTTGGGGATGAAATTGAAATGCTCAAAATTTTGAGGACTAATTTAGAATGATAGTCATGGTTTAAGAATGAGATTGAAACATTTAAAAGTTTAGGGACCAATTAAAAATGAGGTAGTACTTTGAGGATATGTAATGCAATTAACTCTAAAGATGAATAAGTGAATTATTGTAAATGGCAAATTACGTTTACCCGCATCCTTAGGGATCCAAGCTTAGACGTCCACATGTCTGCTGCTCATGTGATGTACAAACAAAGCAGGACAAACTTTTTGCCGTAATGAGCACTTTTGATTAGTTTAGGACACTGTCAAGTATTTAAACAAAACAATTTATAAAGTCAAACCTAATTTGATTATTATTGAATTATTAGAGACTTCAAATTAATTTGATTAAATATGGGAGGGATAGTAGGATCCCTCTCATTTCGTTATTATAAATAATGTATTAATTATATTATTAGCTTGCTTTTTTTCCAAATAAAAAATTAAGAGGTGGATTTTTATTATTATTGTTATTATTATTTATTAAAAAATGTACGTTTGGGTATCATATATATCTAATAAGTTCATGCAATAAATTTTTTAAATGATATGATCCAATTACACCGTATAAAGTTCTTTTAATTTTTACACTTTTTAAGATTATTAGGTGAAAGAAATTAAGTACGGGATTAATAGTGAAAATAAGGTGTAACTTTCCCTAGGTATTTGTTCCAACCTTGCTCTCCGGTCGCCTTTCAATAGATTCGTTATACGCTGCACGAAGTTTAATTATTCTTTTAATCTAATTTACTTTATTTATGATATCATGATTCGAATTATTAATAGGATTAGGATCCACTTACACTGTAAAACTCTTTTAGTTTTACACATTTTTACAATCGTTGGATTGTAGGAAATCAAAAGCTGAAATTATTCGTACGTCGCTACAAAAATTGTCAGGGACCTAGATGGGTTTAAAATCCTGTCAACCACAAATTTGGTGTCACTTTCTATGATAAGTTAACCGACTCCATGAAGATGTTTAATATTGAATTTGATCGCCAAAAATTTCATCATTATAGCCGATCCAGAGCCAATATAGGGTGAAAAAGAGAGGAGACCCTGCCCCAACTCATCGTGAAGGATCCCACTGATCCCTTCACCTTTATCCGATTCCTTAATCGACCCATCGACATTAAGTTTAACCCAGCCGGATGGGGGAGGGCACCAAGCTTTTTGAAACAGTTTGTGGATCTTGGAATGAAAGACCGTTTCCACCCTGATTAGGGGCGGGATTATAAATTATTTTGAGGGTGAGAATACATATATTAATAATATATAATTCTTGAACTAAGAAGTCAATGTTCGTAATAGAAAAGAATAATATAAACAATAAATTATATCCGAAAACCAAATTCATGTATCACTTAAACAAAAAGAAAGTTAATTTTTAATACCTAATTAGATAAAAGGAATTCAAATAACCAATTAAACTATAAAATTAAATTCATGTGCCAAAAAGTCAAAATATTATTACATTTCATTTATCATATATTTATCTACAAAGAATTCGATACTTAATATTGCTTTAAAAGAATTACAGATTTCCTCAATATATAAACTCAATATCTCTAAATTTGCAATCACATGTTAGATCAACGGTCAATAATCCATTCTCAGAATCGTATATGAACTTGTCTTCTTTCATATCCACCATGCAAGACCTCGGTTTCGTGCTTGAATAAGCTCCAAATCTGCCACACCCTCGAGCTTTGGTTTTTATTATGCAATCTGAAAGCTCATTCATGTTTGCATCAATGGCTTCCACTGCTCCTCCTGAATTGTACATGTCAAGCAATCCTATGGGAGCAAAATGAACACCCTGATCGAAAACCTGGTCGACATCGTTTTAACGAAAGATTATCAGATTATTCGAACATGCCGGATATTCAAACATCGTTTTGAGGAAGATTTACTAACCCTGATTGGTGAAATGGTAAATGTTTCACATTTAAGAGTGGCCAATGATACTTTAATATTCCCATTCTTTGGCAATCTGGAGAGAGATCCTGCAATTGAGAAAGAAAAGATCAATGTATATGTATATATTTTGGTTTTGGATTCGGTGTTTATCATTGAAGTTGATGAAGGCGAAAGGCTAACCTGAATTGAAGGCATAAACTGCAACATCTCCATTCCAATTTTCTCCTGCAATATCTGCAATGAACTCAATATCACAGGGACTAATGTTCCCTGAAATGGCTGAAGGTGTGGGTTTCATGTCTTTAATTGCTTGTTTCATAGGCCAATTTCCTGCTCCTTGGCAGTTGAAAACACCAATCACCCCACATAATTTGTTCAAGTTCCATATCTTCAATAGACTGCAAAACAATTCATATTTTTTTTATAAGAATAGGATGCCTCGTTAAAAACAGTTCATATATATATATATATATATCGAAACGAAATGTGTAATAGATTTCCAGCTTTTGTTTCTTCTTTTATTACCTTTTCCCATCCATGACAGGGTCTTTGAATAAACAATCTCGAGTTGGACGGCCAGAGTGTTTAGCTCTTAGAATCGATCCATCGGGCAATACTAGCTTTCTTAGAATCTCAAAATCGTGATTTCCTGGCTTGTCACTGATAATAAGAGGCAATAAAGGTAAAAAAAACAATGGGAACCTCAATAATATGATATATGCATCAGAAGTTATTGCAGCTAACCTTACATATACTGCACCTCCTCCTATTGCCCTTGCAACACCATGGAACACAGCTGTATCATGTTTGCTCTGCAATAAATAGGAAACAAAATGATGTTGGATCGTGCCATTGTGATTGAATCAACTAACTGGGTAAAGCATGAGTTCCGAATGTGATTCGGATGTTAAATGTGCATTCCAATGACAGTGTCAATAGGAAAGAAAAGCATCCTACATGGAACATGTCCCAATCCGGCACCACAATTTCCCCAAGAAGTAGACTGTTAAAAGCAACGGATGCAATGTGTAAGGTCTGAAATGTTGGCTCTCGTGGCATGAAATCTTCCGAAGCTCTCGCAACTGCGCTGGTTTTCGAACTGAAATCATATTGTGATCAGAGCTTACATTTCAGCTTACCTACTTGCTAAATATTTTGATCTGATTATGATTTTTACCTGTAAATCGAGTCTGAATTGTGACTCATGCAACATATCAGGTTATTTTCTTTGAAGTTCCTTGATGTAGATTGTTCTAGTGCTTGTTGATATTGTCTAGTCAATGAAACCCGTCCACCAAACCCAGATCCTAAGGTCTCTATCAAATTTTGGGCATCTACCTTGACTCCATCAACCCCACTGCTGGCGAGATAGCTATGGAGATCATTGTAGAAATCGAAGATTTTCTGTGGTTCGATGATCCCCACTCCATACTTCTCCAAACTGTCCGGGATAATGTCTCGCAGATTTCCGACGTTACCAGGTGATTGGATTGGATAAACAATCTTTGGATTGTATTTTTTCATTGTTTCAGATGATGGAAGAACACCTCCCCAATAGCCTGTTAGAGCATGCCAGACATAGACATACCTGCATTACCATGTAATTTTCGTAAAAAATACAGCAAAAACAAGCATAAATATTATGTTAATCGGACTTTATCGAACATGATACTTCAAAGAATAACAAGGCATTATGTCTAAATATTTGAACCCTTACTTTAACCCATATTTTACTTTGATCATGTTAACAAATTCTTGGAGATCGCTACACCCGGCATCCGATTCTGGACTTTTGAACTTACTGTTTTCTTTGATATCAACTAATCTAGTTGCAAACCTGTTAAATAAAAAGACAACAAGAAGCATGATTAACAAAGCAAGGCAAATGACTATATTTATGGAATTGTTGTACATATTTCGACAGGGTACATATTCCAGGTATGCATTACCACTACAGTACTTACTGTGTCCCTTCGATAAGCGGTTCTCCTTCTTTTTGGAACTCGTTTACCGTATCTTGCCATCCGTCATCGATGATTAGGACCTTCGGAGAACAGCCTCCCTCCGAGAAACTGCCCGAATAACAGAACAATGATCATATGTTCCTTGAAAATTGTAATGATTTTGGGAAAATGATTGCTGAATTATTTGTTCTTTTTACCTTTGAAGACCCTCTTTGATGACTTGAGGATTCACTTCGGTATAAAAGGCATCCCAAGTGCACCATCCGAACCAGTCCAAATGTGCAGGGATCTGTTCATCAAAACAAACCAAAATCCATCAATGGAACAAGATTGTATGTACTAAATTGTGTTAGATTCAACAGTTTGAGATTAATCAATAACCTTCTTGCTTTCAATGTGTCTGAAAGTTCCCTTGTGCTTCTCCAATATCCTACATTGACGCAAACAATGTAATGTCGGATGAAAAGAAATTGCAGCAGATAAAACATTGGAAATCAGCTGCTTTTTTAGCATACTTTATGGAATTCTTGATGAGTTCAAATGGATTGTCCCCTGAATTGATGAACACAGGCTCCGATATTTGTGAGGTCTGGACATTGGCATCACCACTTTCAACACAAAACTGGAGCTCATTTGCAGGAGTTCCTTGCAAACTTGTCCGGAAATCGCCATCCAAGACAGGCAAGAAAAGAACATAGAACGTGTTTTCAATGTCTGAATCAGAGGAATCGTCGTCTTCAACAGCTGATTCTTGTTTGATTTCCAGAAGAAGCATTTGAGTCTCCAATGGAACATCACTGCCAGATTTCCCGTACCCCGGAATCATCCACCATATTTTGAATCTAAACAGACATAGAAGCTTGTATCCCCTGCAATAAAATCAAGCAAAAGAGTTGAACAAAAGGAAAACAGATTCGAACGAACAAATTTATGGAAACTGGGAAAGGAAACATTACTGAAGAATCCCGAGATTGAAAACATGGCGAGAACTGGGGATTGCTGAAGTTGAACCCAGAAAAGCTGAGCCTGAAATTCCCTGAGAAACAATTATGTTGCTCGGAACCTCGGTTAAAACCACCTTTCCCCGCACCATGAGGCGGCCATCTTTGACACAGGGAGCTGCTGTGATCGTCATTTGTTTTTTCTTTAAAGAACAAAAAGGATCAATGGAAAGTTGGAAACTGCTGTGTTTAAAGGAAGATGAAGATGAAGATGAATGAAGAAATTCACAGATGAAGGAAGATGAAGGGGTTACTATTTATATGTTCCATTTGTTGAACTCAAAAGTGCAACATAAAATGTGAAATCCAAGAAACAAACCGTGTGGTCAGACTTGGGATTCGGATGATGGCGTTGTTGCCGAGACTTTTATCTTTTGCATATTGGGTTCCCTTTCAGATACAGCTTACAAAAGGATAATACCACGTCAAGGACACATCAAGTTTGGGTAAGAATAAAGGAAGGTTCATATAATAAATTTTTAGTATAATGTCAAAATTAATTCCTAACATCTATCTAAATAAATATTTTAACCCTTATTGGTTTTTAACACATAAACTCAACATTTTAAATTTTAATAAAAATAAATTTATTGAATGAAAATTGCTTAACTTATTAGCAATCAAAATATATTACAAACATAATATTTTTATATATATTAAATTATTAATGTGCCATGTGTCATACGGTGATATGACACATGTCAGAGTGATGATATAATGAGAAACTTTAATAATTAAACAAATGTGAAAATATCATATTAACAATATACGTTGACTTTTAATTAATTAATGATTTTCATCTAATATAAATTATTTTGATTTAAAATTAAAACATTTAATTAATAGCTAAAGTAGTTATTGGAAAAAAAATATTGAGTTAATTTAGACCTTATATGTAAAATTTTTAATCTAAATATTTTTGTAAATGATTTTAACTAATATTAATAGAAATAAGAATAAGAGGAGGTTTCATATAATATTTTTTTTATTAAACCATCAAAACAAAAGAAAACGATTTTAAACGATACTAATATATACTAAAAATAAGCACAAAGATAAATCAATAAAATTATGTAAGCACAAAGAATGGGAAAAGGTGGGAATAATTTAATAAGGGATGGTTCGAAATTGACTGAGACGTGAGTTTAAATCTAAAACTGACGTGGCGGTGAGTAGGATGAAGGTTGCTTTGTCTTGTCTCCCACACGATGTGCGTTTGTTTATTAGTAAAAATCAAAATTCTATTATAAGAGTATATACCAAAAAATATATATTATAATTTGTCGAAAAACTATATTATAAAAATATTAATTAAATAAAATTACTTTTGACTTATGATTATTATTGGTAGAAGAATTCTAACTATCATTAATTATAATTATTATAGTAGGATGAAATATTAAATCATTTAAATCATGATATTATAAAAAATATAAATTAAAATAATTATTTTTAAAATAATTTCTTATAATATTTAATTTTTAATTAATTAAATATAATTGATTACAACAAATTTATAATTGACTCATTTTATTTAAATAGAAATGATATATGATGATGCAATTTTTATGCAATTTTCCCCTTTTTCTGAATATTTTATTTATATCCATTTTTAGAAGTTCCGAATCTATTTTTCTTTTGTATGATTTCCTTATTTGGTGTAAGATAATATTAGTGGAACAATTGGAGCAGTAAAATATACGAATATATTAAAATAAAACGAACCTTAGTTTTAACTACACGGATGACCATCAAACTATGATCAAAATTTATTTTGACAACCGATGTTTTAATTTGATCAAATTGATGGTCTTTTTAATGACTAGCGGTTTGATTGAACTATTTAAATAGTTGAGTGGTCTTTTTAATCAAATTGAAACACTAGTAGTCAAAATGAATTTTGACCATAGTTTGATGGTCACCCGTGTAATTTACCTAAAATCTTATCATTCGTATTTCTACAGAAAATAACGTGTAATTTACCTAAATAGTTTGATGTTTGCTTACCGGGAGATTATTTTGTATTGGTCGAAAGGGTAAACTATGCATTTAATACATAAAGTTTCATAATGTCAGTAATCAAATAATATATTTTTTCTTCTTCAGCCAATAGGGTGGGGAATCGAACCAGCACCCTCTTGGTGAAGATGAATAGGCTTAGCCACTAGGCTAAGAAAGGCAATTTGAAATAGTTCACCACAAGAAATATTTAATTAATAGAGGATTTTTTAAAATATATGTTTTTAAAACATCAATCTTAAACTATTTTAAAAATTAAATTTAAAATATTTATTTACGATCCTCGTTGATTTCGACATCCGTAAGCCACACCATCACCACCATTCGAACCACCAAGCAATTCCGCTCAAAACCAATCCTCGTTGTCGCTCCATCAATGTTCCTCCGACGTTCTATCGCGGAGATTAAGATTTTAAAAGTTAGAGATTTGGGTATTGGGGATTTTAGAGATTTAGGGGATTTTGGTATCAATAAGAGAAAAGATTGATCAATGGGTGGTCGACGACAGGTGGGTGACTGTTCGGCAATGACGATGGTGGCTAGAGATAACCGGCGACGATTGGTAACAGGGTTGAAATGAGAGATTTTGGTTTTTTAGAGTTTTTCTTTTATAATTTCAATAAAAATTGGGGTTTTATAAATAAATAAAGTTTTTTAAATTCCTAATTAAAATAATATTTTTATTATTAAAAAATTAAAAAATATAATAGTAGACACCTAAAAGTGTAACTAAGAAAATGTTAGGTATCAATTTTTAACGAAAATTTCTTTAGACATCAACATTTTTCGAAACAAAGTTTAGACACTTAATTTTCTATTAAGCCTTCGTACTTATTTTTGTATTAAGCCTTCATATAATTTATAACCGTAAGTATACAAGTCAAATACAAACATAGAGACATGATTATAGTCATCTCAGAATACTTGTAAATTAGCGTAGATTAAACCAAATATATTAGCATAAAGAGAAGTACAGCTCAAAGCACATCATAGGTTGCTTTTGCATATTGATATATTAATCATAAAGTGAAGTATTTATACGTAGGATTAGTGCATTGATATATATATATATATATATATAAAATTTGAAGTTTCATTCTTTATTATCTTCTTCGAAATCTTCTGGGCTTATTATCATGCTTGTGAACAGAATACACCTATATCATACATATATACATTTAAAATATGCTTCACTTGTGAGAAGTTCATATAAACTTAACATGAAATTCACACATAACATGCTTGTATACTATCGAATTTGTTCATGTCAGGTTTAAACACAATCTTTATTCAAAGGGAAGTAAAACTGAGATCAAACTCTGCACCATACACTATTAGCTTCGGAAACGGATATCATGAAGCAAATCTACAACACTCAAAGACTTAAACCAGAACCGCTTAGTTTCTGGTGTGTTATTCGGTCCAATCGTTCGGCCATTTCAGATGTCAAACAATTCTTCCAATCCCCAACCTTCCCTTTCCGAAAATACATCTTGTGTTGAACCACACCCATACGAACTTTCTCACTTTTATTCACTTCCAGGTTGCTTAAATTCTCAAAACTACACATCTTTACAATCTTTTCAGGCACCTCTTTTTGATGTTCTTCTGACGAGAAAGGGCAACTGATGAACTCAGCCAATTTCTTAACATACAAAACAGAATCCTCTATCATCTCTTCATATTTCAAGAACAGAATCTTATTGGGATGTTCCAAGCTTGCCTTCCAGTACCCCAAAACATGGTCCCAATAAGGTCCATACATACTCACACCTTCACAAAACAACTCGAACGCCTCATCGAGATCAGGGGGTTGAAGATTTTGGGATCTTCGTATCGCGGCATTGAAGTGGTACAGTGAAACAAACGAATCCTTGGGGTTCCTGCAAATGTAAACAAGTTTACAACCGGAATCGATTATCGATCTTGGTAAGGAAGAATAAGGAACGTGTGTGGCCAACACAGGAACTCCCATATCACGATAGCTTGGAAAATCTGCATGATAAAGGTCCATGAAAGGCACAACCTCATGGGGCAACTTGGAAAGCAAAGGGGTAGTGGAATCATAAAATGAAGTTCTTGTGTAGATGGAGAAAATGAGGGATTTTAACCAGGTTGTGCCTGTTTTAGGGATACTACAGATGATGGTATCGGTGGGTTGAGCCTGGAATCGTTGTTGAGCTGATACAACTCCTTTGAGGAAAGTGGGGTAAAGCCAAAAGCCTTGATATTGATAAAAATCTTCACGATTGCCCCAACACTTCCTTTTGGGGAGAGTCGATATCATCTGCTCGAATGATTTCTCAAACTCATCTTCGTTTTCATTCACAATATCTTTAGAATCTAAGCGGGACTCCATGAAGAACAGGCTAATGAGTGCAAATACTACGGAACATCTGCTTGAATGATTTCTCAAACGTCATTCTTATCTTTGGCCTATTATTTTATCCCGATGCTTAAGATTATCTTGTATGATATTAGGTATTATGCCCCCCACTGGCAAATAAATTATGGATGGTGTGATTTAATAATTGTAATGTCATTCTCAAGTTAACAAAAAATTAAGGATCCGCGTGAAAGAAATTATTATTCATTATTTGAAGAATAATACTGTATATGAAAATTTATGGCGGACAGTCTTGTTTGACTCGGTTTGATTTGGTCGTGGATGGTAGTTGTGGTGTTCGAGACTTGGATGAAACGATGGTGATGAATGGTTCGACGATCGTAGAAAGATGTGAAGCTCTTGAGTATGATGAGTATTATGTTTAGAGGAGATGACGATCAGAAGAACATTAGACAATGATAATATAGTTGAATTGAGATCGATTACTGTCAATCAATTCAAAAAATTTAATATTTTTTGGGGAAAAAGATTTTAATGTGTCATATCAACATTTCTTAACTTCAGTTAATGGTAATAATTGTAATAAAAGTGAATTAAGAGTTCAATAATTGTATTACAAATTTAAAGTTGGTAACAAAAAATGCAAGTGCTCTAAAAGTTAATAGATTATTTATTTAGTTTATCCTAAAAATTATTACATGTATTTGGAAGATGAAGGTCATTATTTTTAGGATAGAATATCACATGCTATTGAATTATATTTAAATAATTGTTTTAGTCATTAAATTTTTAGATTTATAATATAATTATTAAATTTATTAAATTATTATAAAATAATTTATTGGATTTTATTAAACTATTATAAAGTAATTATTAAATTTTATTAAAATGTTATAAAATGATTTTACACCAACTGATAAAGAAGTTGTTAATTGGTTTAAACTTTTTTGATTTAAATCAATTATTTTTTCTAAAGAGAATCTGCCCCGTCAAATGACATAATAAAATGTTTAACAATAAGGACTCCATATTTTTCTCATTAGAAGTATCAACTTGCTGCAAAAACTGTGATATATCAAACAAAATGTCGTCCTCAACTTAATAAAAAGAATTATGGATCCACGTATGTTGAGGGAGACATTATTGTTTGTGGTTTATTTACAAATAATAAAAAATATTAAATTATTGAACTGTTACGATAAATCATGATTAAAAATAAAATAGAAAATAAAAATATATAATTTTTTTTATATTTTTTATATATAAAAGTATTTTAAAATCTCTAAATCCTTAATTTGGAGATATTTTTTTAATTAATCATTGATATTCGATCTATTGATCGATTAATTCAAATCGGGTTTTGTAAATGCCCATTATAGGGGTGATCCTCCCAATCTAGTTTGCTCCATACACAAATCTCAGGATTTGAACATCTGACATTGTTTAAGAAATCTAGTGTCTCATCTCATTAAGTCAACTGATTATTGGTTTAATTTGGAGATTATTGTTTGTTTATGCATATTTTCTATTTTATTGTGCATGTGGCCAATGGACTTTGGTTACTAATAGAACTCAAAATTGTCATTAAGTTTACTATCTCTTCCTTGATGTTATCGTTATCATGTGTCATTTTCTATTTCATTGTACATGTCTTTATTTTCTTTTTCTTTTTTTCATTTTTTCATTTTTTCATTTTTTTCATTTTTAATTCTATTGTACATGTGGCCAATGAACTTTTGCATGTTGGGTTCCCTTTCAGATACAGCTTACAAAAGGATAATGTCACGTCAAGGACACATCAAGTTTGGGTAAGAATAAAGGAAGGTTCATATAATAAAGTTTTAACTCTTTTAACTCCTAACATCTATCTAAATAATATTTTAACTCTTTTGTTTTTAACACATAAACTCAATATTTTAAATTTTAATCAAAATAAATTTATTGAATGAAAACTAGTTAACTTATTAACAGTCAAAATATATTACAGACATAATATTTTCACATATGTTAAATTATTAATGTGTCACGTGTCATATGATGATATGACACATGCCAAGGTGATGATATAATATGAGTAACTTTAATAATTAAGCAAATGTGAAAATATCATATTAACAATATGTGTTTATCTTTAATTAATTAACAATTTTCATCCAATATAAATTATTTTGATTTAAAATTTGTCGGAACCGTCTTTCGGTTGGACCCAAAATTAGGCTTCGACTTGAATAAAACGGATTAGAGTCGCCACCGATAATTTATTTTAAAACAAATGAGTTGATCATATACCTTATTTCTTACCTGATCTGCGTCTTACCAAATATGTGTCGGATTCGGGAGTCGGTTACAGTCAAGGGAAGGTTAGCACCCTTGAACTGCCCTTTCGGTACTACGTAATTTCCGGTTGTCTTTAATTAAGAAAATTGAAAGTTTAAATTAAAAGGTAAAATAGCGATCCAAATTACTTACCTCTGATAAATTTAAAAGTGTACCCTTAAGAAATCAAGAAACGGGTTAGATAAAAAGTAGCAAAAATAAATAAAATAAAGAAAGTAAAAAAACAAATACAATAAAGAAGAGAAAATAAAAAGAAAAAATAGAATAAAATAAAATAATAAACAAAAAATAAAATAAAATAAAATATGTAAAATATGCAATAATAATAATAATAATAATAATAATAATAATAATAATAATAATAATAAAGACAAGAGAATAATGTGAAACAATATAATAAAGTAAAAAAATTGAAAAAATAGTATACCATAATAGTAATAAATAAAAACCAAAAATAAAAAAATAGAAAAAGAATAAAAATAATATACATATATAAAATATATAAAATAATAATGAAAAATATATAAAATAATAATAATAATAATAAAGAAAAAGAAAAATGAAAACTAATAAATAATAAAAGATATAATTAAATATTTATAATAATAAGGGACTAAAATAAAAAAACTAAATCGAGGGCCAAATTCAAAGCCAATAGAAGGGAAAAATGTGAATCTAGGGGGATAACACGTGCATTAAAAATCAAAGGGACTGAAATGGGTATTAACCCACTTTTGAATGGAAACACAGATCCTCTATGGGATCCGCTCGGGTCGGGTCGATCCAATGGGCTCCACGGGTTGACTATATAAGTTAATTTTTTTTAAAGTTTCATTTGCTTCATTTTTAACCAAAACCCCATCTCTTAGCTTTCCTCTCTAGTGTTCTTCAATCTTTGAAGAACACAGTCGAGCTTCCAACAAATTTCCAGAATCCGGCACCGTGCCGCCTCGTCGGCCGCCGTTCATTGGCGACAACCCTTATTTTTTTTGCTTTTTCGAATGTTCTTCAAGTCATTTCTTCAAAAATCAAGTTAGTTTCTTAAAAATCGCCTCGAGGGAGAGTAGATCTAGAAAATAAATTTCGAAACTCTCCCCCCTTTTTCATCGGCGTTTCAAATCAACCAAAAAAAAGAGGGAAACCACAAGCCATACATGCAAGATCAAAAATCAAACGAGGTAAAAAAACAATACCTTTTTATTTCACTTCGAAATGGTTACAAGATGCCTCGGTTCACTGTTTTTGTGTATTTTCTTTTCGGTATTTCGCATGTAATGTTGTGTGCTTCGAATGTAAAAATCATCTCTTTCGTTTGATTTACAAGCTTATTTATATACAAAAAATGCTATTTTTAGTTTCGAAATTTTTGAGTCCTATACGGATTGTAACTCCTCTTTGTTGGTTGTTGTTGTGTCCCACAAGTGCACGTTTATTGGTGGTCGTTGCCGAGGAAAACGACGGTTGCGTGAGAAGCGACGGTTTGACCAAGCTGGGATGAAGGCATGTGGCGCTTGGAGGAAAGAAAGCTAGGGTTTCAAACCCTAGCTGGACCGGTTCGGGTTCGGGCCTCTACTGGATCCGGTTCGGGCTCCATCCGAGTCGTGTGTAGTGGTCACTGTTGGGCTGCCGATTTTGGGTTTGGGTCTGTAAAATGTAACAATATTAGTTAATAAAATAATAATAATACTTATATGATATATAATATATAAATATATATGTATATTTTGGTCAGAAAAAATGTATCTGCAGGTGCCCTCTTTGCCCATAGTCGTGTAATAGGGATAGAGCAAAGATTAAAAGACACACTTTTCGTTTAACATGAATGTATCCAAATTTAACACCATCCATATAGGGGTCAACCCCCATCGAATATCTTCCTTCGTGGAGTTGAAATCTGATGTTAAGACTGGTTCGTCAATTTGGATTGAATCACAAAATGACTCTCTCATCGTGAGGTTGAGTCTAAACAAGAAAATTCTGAGCACGATATCATTCATTGTGAAGTTGAAATCGAACTCAAAGCTTTTCCAAGTAGCTCTTGAATCGTCTTCTAGCTCAAGATTCTTCGAAGCTGAAACTCGACCTGAAGACTTTGGTGTTGTTGTGTTACAGATGACTTCTTCGTCGTGAAGTTGGGTCAATCTTTTAGGTATAATATCCTTCGTTGTGAAGTTGAAATCGTAGGAAAAATCGGAAAGTAACTTGTTGCCAATCTTGACCTTGGTCTTCTTCTTGACTTAAAGACCTTGGTGTGAGAATTTGACCAGAAAGTAGTTGATACGTCATTGAGTTGAATGTAATCAAACTTGAAAGTTTACATTGATAGATAACCCTTATCGCCTTGAGTTTTGTTGTATTGAGCTAAGAGATTACCCCAAATCTTCTCCTTGACTTGAAGACCTCGACTTCAACCAAAAAACAACTTCTCAATGCTACCATGTGGTTGATGTGTCATCGAGCTGAATGGAATCGAACTCGACAGTTTTTTTTGACAGATAGCTTGTTTCTACTTAAGTTATTCTGTAAATTTGACATGCCCTTGAGTTGAATGAAATCGAACTCGAAGGTCTTTTGTTGACAGATAACCCTTCTCACCTTGAGTTATGTTGTAAATTGGATGTGCCTTTGAACTGAGTGTAATCGAACTCAAAGGTTTTTGTTGACAGATAACCCTTCTAGCCTTGAGTTATGTTGTAAATTGGATATGCCTTTGAGCTGAATATAATCGAACTCGAAGGCCTTTGATGACATATAACCATTCTCGCCTTGAGTT